AAAATGATCAAACATAGTCGAACAATCATGCCCAGTCTACTGTTTACAGCTGTGTCCGAGCACTCCTCCTGCAGAAGGAAGTGCCCGACTTCAGCGCTGCTGCCCCGTGCCGCCTCGTGTTAAGTCGGGCCCGTCCCTCTACAGGAGGAATCTACAAAAATAGTCAAAAAATAGTCTGGGGACTATTGTTTGCGTATTGTTTGCCCACTTCGGAATATTTTCTGCGTGTCATTTTATTTTTCGTCGGAAATCCCCCTGTAGGGGGACGCTCCCGACTTCAGCCTCGTGGCCGCTCGTGGGCGCACCCTGCGCTGGACAGGGCCGCCAGGGCTGCGCCGCGACGCGGCCGCCCGTGCCGCGCTCGCGGCTTCTCGCGGGCGCCTCGTGCGCTGGAGGCGGGTCCGCCGGGGCCGCGCCACCCCGCGGGCGCCCCGTGCGAGGAGCTCGTGCCACATGGCTCGCGCGAGCTGCGCGCGAAGCACAGCTGGCACCGAGAATGGCGCACCCCACTGTTACGGGAACGAGCAATGACATGAGCATAAAAACTCGGAGGTCCGCGCGGATTTCGCGGATCGGCGCTGGACCCCCATGGCGGCGCCTCCGGCGCGGCCCCTGGCGCGCTGCGCGCGCCAGGGGTGGGGAGGTCCAGCGCCGAAATCCTAGAAATCCGCGTGGACCTCCGAGTTTTTATGCTTGTGTCATTGCTCGTTCCCCGAAACGTAGCTGGGACAGAACAGCGCTCGCCAGACACACACGGCTTACACTGCACAGCTTGCAGCACATGGCTCGCACCGCACAGCGTTCGCCTCCACGGTGCAATGAGTCACTGCTTGGGATTCGCGCTAGATAGCACGTGCTCGTCGTAGCACCATGTCCATCACCGTCACGCATGCTGAGGCGTGGTAGAATGCCAGGTGCTGTCTGTTGGAGTTCCTGTAGTCTTCTAGAAGGACGCTCCCTGCTTACCACAAAGTGGAGCATGCACTGGCACTGCCCCCCTCTTCCGTTGAGTGGCTTACCTGTGAGACTTAGTTTAAGCCAGAAAAGGGCTGTTATTATTGCTATTAACGTCCATTAGCGTGTTTCAGTGCACCCACCGCACTCCATTAACGTCCATTAACGTCCATAGCAGGAGAAGACAACAACCCATGCTTAAAATAACTCTCTCAGGTAACACACTTAACTTCCGTGGCTCCCTGCGAGTCTCCACGCATGCCTGAAGCTCTCCATGGCTCTGAGATGACGGGAGCGAAGGCTGACGAAGAGAGAGAGAGAGGCAGCACCCGGAAACCTCCTCGCGGGCGGGGGGAGGGTGGACGAGGGGGACACACACACACACACACACACACAAGCCGCACATCCAGCAGGACGCGTTGGCACGACATCCGTTTAAGGCCGCCGATAAATTCTCACACTGCAACACATATTCGCGTTGGGAAAAAAGAAGCGGAGGAGAGAAGACAAAGACGACCAGACTACATAGCAGAGGGGTGCTCAGATCTGTCGATCTGTCGGCACAGTTTGCACACCGGGGAGGGGGAGGGGCGAGATAATTAGAGATAATATGTCGGGACGAGGGTTTGGACGCCCGAAATGGGTACGGAAAGAATGGGCACTATGCCCAACAACAAATGTTGTCCCAAGCCAACAGCGGCCGCTGTTGGGCAGGCGGCCTTCTGTCTCGAATGGACACAGGCCGCGGCGGCGTGGACAGCGAATCCTGTTCAAAATGAACAGGAATTGTTGTTGGGCATTGTACCCATTCTTTCAGTACCCATTTCGGGCGTCCAGAGAGGGGGAGGGGCGAGATATGATCACACCGCCCCGCACGGGACGCGCCCTGCTCAGGCTGCTCCGAAGACGCCGCCGGGCGAGGCCCGCCCCGACAGCGGGCCGCGTGCGCTCGGAGCTGTCTGGGGCGACGGCGGAAGGGGGCCGCCACACCCCCCGCCCGCCCCGCCGCGCCCACCTGGCCACCGCTCCTCCTCCCTCCTCCCTCCTCCTCCTCCCTCCTCCTCCTCCTCCTCCTCCTCCTCCTCCTCCTCCTCCTCCTCCTCCTCTCCTCCTCCTCCCTCCTCCTCCTCCTCCTCCTCCTCCTCCTCCTCCTCCTCTCCTCCTCCTCCTCCTCCTCCTCCTCCTCCTCCTCCTCCTCGGCGGCGCGTCTCGCGCGGCGTCCGCGCGGAGCCCGGCGCTCCAGCGGGCAGGGCCGCCCGCCCGCGCGCTCCCGTGCGGTGCTGGCAGCCTCGCGCATCCACGGCCCGGGCAAGGCCCCCGGAGGCCGCGGATGTTGGTAGTCGAGTGCATCTGCCTCCCCACGAGTTGCACAGCAGGAGCAGCTGAACGGAAGTTAGAACCTGGAAAGAGAAGAGGGAACAGGGGGAGGAACAAGATGCCCAAAAGGCGTCACAGGAATGACAGGGACGAGTCGCGCAAAAACCTGCGTGGCCTAAGCCATCCATCCGCTCCACTCCGAGCAGGGCGAGTCGAGACCACAGCGAGGCAAAGCTCAAGTCGGGCGTGTCCCCCTACAGGGGGATATTCGACGAAAAATTTAATTAAAAAAACAAAAAAAACAAAAAAAAAAAAAAAAAAAAAAAACTGCGAAATGGTCTTAAAAAAAATCTCCAAAAACAGTCCCCCGACTATCTTTTTATCATTTTTGAATCTTCCTCCTGTAGAGGCAAGGGCCCGACTTGAGGCAAAGCCGATGGCGACGAGGGGGCCCCCCGAAGGCCAGCTGCCGTCGTCTGAACTCGCCCCTCCTCTGATCCCCTGCGCCCCCGGGGCCCCGGGACGCCGCCTGCCCGCGCCGCGCACGTGCCCCAGCTCCGCCCCGGGGGCCGCGACGGCCCAGGAGGGAGAGCGCCGCGGCACCCGGCCGGCCCTCGGCGACCGCTGGCGCAGAGGCCTCCTCGCCGGCGCGGCGACGGAGCTCTGCCCCCCCCGCTGGCCGCCGCGCCGCCGCGCCGCGGCGGCCAGGCCCAGAGGCGGCCTGCTCCGCGCGAGGGCAGCGCGCGCGCGCCAGCTCGGCGGGCTGCGCGCGGGGGCGGGCCCCGCGCCGCCGCGCAGCGATCCTCGCTCGGCGCGTCGCCGGCCGCCGTGCGGTGCCCTCGCTCGAGCGGCGCACCTCGAGCGACCCGGGCTGTCCTTCGGACGCTGGCCTCCGCTTTCCGCTGCTCGCCCGTCGTCGGCGTCGCCGCCGGCTCACGGGCGCCCCGCTGCGCCCAGCCCTCCGCGAGGAGCCCTGCGCGAGGCGGACATCTCGAGCGCTCGGCTCCGCCACCTCGTCGCCGCCGTCCAGGGGCGCACACGCTCCTTCGGCCCCGGTCGAGGCCGGCGACCGACGGGACCGCGATCGGCCCCTGGGGGCCCGTCCCTGGCCGAGGCCTCGTCACGCAGCTCCGCCGCGTCTCTCTCTCTGTCCACAGGCCCAACCGACCTAAAACAGGGCTAGCGCTCTCAGAGCGTTCCGGAACGCTCTGGAGCGGCCGCGGCGCCCAATACATCCTCCAAACCCGCCGATTCCCAGAGATCTCGAGTCATCCCGATCCGACTTTGTCCCGACCTTCGCGTCGTTCGACGACCACGGCCTGGAACGAAGTTCTCCAGCCCGTCGTGAGCAGAGAAAGGCCCGGATCGCGCGCGAGAGCGCGCGGGTGCCGGTGCGCGGGGCCCATCCAGCTCGGCACCCGCCCCTCCTGCAGTCTGCCCGTTGGCCCACGAGTCACGCCGCCGCCTGCCCCGGTCACTCTGCCCAGTCGCTGCTGCCGTCTCGTCTCGCCCTCTCCCGCGCGCCTCGGCGCGCGGGGCCTCGTCCGAGGCACAAAGTCGGTGATTCCCTGGACCCCTGAGAAGCCCCACCCCGATTCACAAACATATATATAGAGAGAGAGAAAGAGAAAGAGAGAGAGAGAGATTCCCTTGTATATGTTTTTACAATCCGGGCGGAACGCGAAAGGGGTCACCCCCCCCAAAAAAAAATCCGGACACCCGGGATCTGGGGCTTTGGGGCCCTCTGGACGGGCCTCGAAGCGGCCCCCTGGGCATCGCAGGGCGTTTTGTCAAGCCTTACCAGCACACCTAAGGCGATCAGGGGGGTCATCGAAGACGTCCCAGAGACCCCCAAGACAGCACAAGAGCGCTCCAAGAGTGACCGACGTGACCTCCAGATGGCCCAAGAGGCCTCCAGGACGGCCCCAAAGAGGCCTCCAAGAGCACTCCCAAGAAGGCCCCAAGAGGCAAAAATCAGTGATTTTCTATCGGCTTCCCGACGCTCCAAGACGGCGGTATTCTGGGCGTCCGAAGCCGCCTGGGAGGCTCCAAAATCGCCCCACAACCATCCGAAAGGGCTTCCGGGCAGTCCAAGAGAGCCCCAAAATGGCACAACACGGGTCCAACATGGCCCTCAGAGAGCCCCATGGCGGCCCAAGATGGCCCCAAGACACCCTCCGAAGCATTCCAAATCGTGACCCGGTCGTTCAGGGAGACCGCGGTTGGAGGCTGGGTGGCCCGAGGAAGCCCCCAGAGGCCCCCAGAATACGCCCAGGAGGCCTCCAGAAGGCCTTAAGAAAGCCTAAAACAACTTTTGTGAGGCTCCCAAAGGCTCTCCAAGGAGGAGCCTCCGCAAAAAAGAGCTGCGGAGGACGGGGAGAATGCGCAGGGTATAGCGAAAATGAAGAAAAAGAAGCACGGAGGAAGGATAACGAATAACATTATTATAGCGGCGATGCCGGAAAAGGCAACAAGGAGTTATCGCTAAATTGTCGGCTTGACCTTCCTGCCATTCCGCCTGCACACCAAACTTCAAGGACCAAGGTGCATGGCGCGAAGCGCCAATGCAGTCTTGTGTATATATATAGATACATGTAAATGTATATATGTATACACACATGTAGATAGTCATCACACATGTATGCAAATTAGTTGCAGTCATTGGCACAGGATGCGTACAGCCAGTCTGGCGGTGGACATCCCTTCCGAGACCAGAGCGGCCGCGGGGCCTTCTCGTCCTTTTCCTGCGCCAGCCTCTGCTCGTACATCTCTTTCAGCTCCTCGATCTCCCGGTCCGCGTCCCGCTCGAGCTGGGCCAAGGTCTCCTGGCGCCAGCCCCGGCCTTCCTCGCTACCTGGGAGGAGAAGGAGGAGGAGGAGGAGGAGGAGGAAAAGGAGGAGGAGGAGGAGGAGAAGGAAAAGGAGGAGGAGAAGGAGGAGGGTGAGGACGACGACGACGACGACGACGACGATCCAGACCTCCAGCTTTCGGTAATCGAGGACAGAGGAACGAGGCTCGACGATCGAGATCTGCGACTGGTCATCGAGCCTCTTGGGGGGACTCTCCCCAGGGGGCGGGGGCTCGCAACCGAGGCGGGGCCCGCCAACACAGGCGGTCGACGAGTTGCGTCTGCGTGTGCTTCTCCCCTCCTGAACAAGCCATTCCACGGGATGGGGCCCAGAGTTGGGTCGGGCGTGTCCTCCACAGGCGGATTTCAGACGAAGAATATAAGAGAAACAGAAAGTCAAAAAAATACTCAAACACACTCAAAACTAGGCAAAAAATCGTCCCCATACTATTGCGTGGACTATCTTTTGAATATTCCCAGTGTAGAGGGGCGTGCCCGACTGAAGCCCAGTTCCAGGGGCGTGGCGTCGCGACGAGGTCCCGATGTCCAACGTCCGGGGACGGAAAGGGAGAGAGCAAGCAAGCGACCTCGAAGAGCCTCGAAGCACGAGCTACTGCTGGCCTGAGATCCGCCGCCGTGCTTTCAGCACGGAGCGGACTGGCTTCCCCGAGGTGTGTCGCGCGAGCCCTTCTCGGATGCTGAAGCCGCGCACCCCCACCCCGCCCCCCCCCCAAAGAAGAAAAAGAAGCGCCAAGAAAGGCACAGGAGGCCCTCGAGAGATTCTAGAGGGCCCCAAGGGGCCCCGTTCTCGAGGCGCGCATTCAAGATGCCCCAAGAGGCCACAGATGGCCACAAAGTTGTGTTACGCCTGCTCGGCTCCTCGGCTCAAAATGATGGCTTCAAGAGGGTTGGAAGCATCTCCAAGACTGCCAGCAAGGATACCAGGAAAACACACACACACACACCGAACGGCCCAGGAGGGCCCGAAGAGGCCCCCAGGATGCCTCAAGATAGCCTCGAGGCGAGTTTAAGACGGGCCAGGAGTTGACGGCGCGCACAAGGGGGCACGGGGAGGGGGGGAGGCTTCTCACGGGAAGCTGCGTCTTAGAAGGCGCCGGCCTTGCATCCGCAAACGAGGCCCGCGCCTTCTGAGCAGCAGGGGTGCTTCTGAGAAGCCGCACCCCCTCCCCCTGGCCTTAGGTCGGGCCTGTCCCCCTACAGGCCGATGTTGGACGAAAACAAGTGGCACGCGTGCCCTGGCTCTTACACAAAGAAGCTGCGAAGGACTGGGAAGCCTGGACGGAGGAAGGCTGGGCGGAGGAAGGCTCCCAAGGGTGGGTGGCCCAGGGGAGCTGGGGCTCAGGCTCAGAGGGGGGGCCGAGGGGGACGAACCACCACTAGCCACGAACCACGACGAAAGTGAAGGGTTCCACGGCCCAGGGGGGCTGTCCTGGGAAGCCTGGACGGAAGGGGTGGCCCAGGGAAGCTGTGGCTCAAGCTCAAGGGAGGGGCCGAGGGGGACGAACCACGACGAACCACGAACCACGACGAAAATGAGCATGTCCGTGGCCCGCGGGGGCTGTCCTGGGAAGCCTGGACAGAGCAAGCCTCCGAAGGGTGGGTGCCCAGGGGAGCTGGGGCTCAGGCTCAGAGGGGGGGCCGAGGGGGACGAAACACCACGAGCCACGACGAAAAGGGTTCCGCGGCCCAGGGGGGGGCTGCCCTGGGAAGCCTGGACGGAGCAAGCCTCCGAAGAGTGGGTGGCCCAGGGGAGCTGGGGCTCAGGCTCAAGGGGAGGGGCCGACGGGGACAAACCACCACGAACCACGACGAAAATAAAGGGTTCCGCGGCCCAGGGGGGTTGCCCTGGGAAGCCTGGACGAAGGAAGGGTCCCACGGGGGAGTGGCCCCACGACGAAAATAAAGAGTTCCGCGGCCCAGGGGAGCTGTCCTGGGAAGCCTGGACGGAAGGGGGGTCCCAAGGGGGAGTGGCCCAGGGGAGCTGTGGCTCAAGCTCAAGGGAGGGGCCGAGGGGGACGAACCACGACGAACCACGAACCACCACGAAAATGAGGATGTCCGCGGCCCAGGGGGACTGTCCTGGGAAGCCTGAACGGAGCAAGCCTCCGGAGGGTGGGTAGCCCAGGGGAGCTGGGGCTCAGGCTCAGAGGGGGGGCCGAGGGGGACGAACCACCACGAACCACGAACCACGACGAAAATAAAGGATTCCGCGGCCCAGGGGGGCCCGGACGGAGCAAGCCTCCGAAGGGTGGGTGGCCCAGGGGAGCTGGGGCTCAGGTTCAGGAGAGGGGCCGAGGAGGGCGAACCACCACGAGCCACGAACCACTACGAAAATAAAGAGTTCCGCGGCCCAGGGGGGCTGCCCTGGGAAGGAGCTGGGGCCCAGGCTCAAGGGGAGGGGCCGAGGGGGACGAACCACCACGAGCCACGAACCACGACGAAAATAAACGGTTCCGCGGCACAGGGGGGCTGCCCTGGGAAGCCTGGACGATTGGGTTCCCAAGGGTGGGTGCCCAGGGGAGCTGGGGCTCAGGCTCAGGGGAGGGGCCGAGGGGGACGAACCACCACGAACCACGAACCACGACGAAAATATGGAGATCCGCGGCCGAAGCCTTGGCGGAGCAAGCCTCCGAAGGGTGGGTGGCCCAGGGGAGCTGGGGCTCAGGCTCAGGGGAGGGGCCGAGGGGGACGAACCACCACGAACCACGAACCACGACGAAAATAAAGGTGTCCGAGCTCTGGAACACAGCTGTGCAAGAGAATAAAGGGTTCCGCGGCCCAGGGGGGCTGCCCTGGGAAGCCTGGACGGAGAAGGGGTCCCAAGGGGGAGTGGCCAAGGGGAGCTGGGGCTCAGGCTCAGGAGGGGGGGGGGGGGGCCGACGGGGACGACCCACCACGAGCCACGAACCACGACGAAAATAAACGGTTCCACGGCCCAGGGGGGCTGCCCTGGGAAGCCTGGACGGAGGAAGGCTACCAAGGGGGGTGGCCCAGGGGGCCGGCCGGTGCTCAGGCTCAGGGGGTGGGGGCCGAGGGGGACGGACCATCACGAGCCACGACGAAAATAAAGGGTTCCGCGGCCCAGGGGGGCTGCCCTGGGAAGCCTGGGCGGAGGGGGGATCCCAAGGACGGGCGGGCGGCCGACGGGGACGAACCACCACGAGCCACGACGACAATAAACGGTTCCGCGGCACAGGGGGGCTGCCCTGGGAAGCCTGGACGGAGGGGGGGGTCCCAAGGAGGGGGGCCCAGAGGAGCCGGGGCTCAGGCTCAGGGGGAGGGGCCGAGGGGGACGAACCTCCACGAGCCACGACGAAAATAAACAGTTCCGCGGCCCAGGGGGGCTGCCCTGGAAGCCTGGGCGGAGGGGGGGTCCCAAGGAAGGGTGGCCCAGGGAGCTGGGGCTCAGGCTCAGGGCGGGGCCAGGGGGACGAACCACCACGAGCCACGACGAAAATAAAGGATTCCGCGGCCCATGGGGGGGGCCGAGGGGGACGAACCACCACGAGCCACGACGAAAACAAACGGTTCCACGGCCCAGAGGGGCTGCCCTGGGAAGCCTGGGCGGAGGAAGGCTACCAAAGGGGGGTGGCCCAGGGGGCCGGTGCTCAGGCTCAGGGGGGGGCCGAGGAGGACGAACCACCACGAGCCACTACGAAAATAAACGGTTTCGCGGCCCAGGGGGGCTGCCCTGGGAAGCCTGGACGGAGGGGGGGTCCCAAGAGGGGGTGGCCCAGGGGAGTTGGGGCTCAGGCTCAGGGAGGGGGCCGAGGGGGACGAACCACCACGAGCCCCGGCGAAAATAAAGGGTTCCGCGGCCCAGGGGGGCTGCCCCGGGAAGCCTGGACAGAGGGGAGATCCCAAGGGGGAGTGGCCCAGGGGAGCTGGGGCTCAGGCTCAGGGGAGGGGCCGAGGGGGACGAACCACCACGACCCCCGACGAAAATAAAGGGTTCCGCGGCCCAGCGGGGCTGCCCCGGGAAGCCTGGACAGAGGGGGGGTCCCAAGGGAGAGTGGCCCAGGGGAGCTGGGGCTCAGGCTCAGGGGAGGGGCCGAGGGGGACGAACCACCACGAGCCACGACGAAAATAAAGGGTTCCGCTGCCCAGGGGGGCTGCCCTGGGAAGCCTGGACGGAGGGGGGTGCCCAAGGGGGGGTGGCCCAGGGGAGCTGGGGCTCAGGCTCGCGGGGGAGGGCGAGGGGGACGAACCACCGCGACCCACGACGAAAATAAAGGGTTCCGCTGCCCAGCGGGGCTGCCCTGGGAAGCCTGGACGGAAGGGGGGGGTCCCAAGGGAGGGTGGCCCAGGGGGCCGGTGCTCAGGCTCAGGGGGGGGGCCAAGGGGGACGAACCACCACGAGCCACGACGAAAATAAACGGTTCCGCGGCCCAGGGGGGGTGCCGAGGAGGACGAACCACAAAGAGCCACGACGAATCTAAAGGGTTCCGCGGCCCAGCGGGGCTGCCCCGGGAAGCCTGGACGGAAGGGGGGGGTCCCAAGGGAGGGTGGCCCAGGGGGCCGGTGCTCAGGCTCAGGGGGGGGGGGCCAAGGGGGACGAACCACCACGAGCCACGACGAAAATAAACGGTTCCGCGGCCCAGCGGGCTGCCCTGGGAAGCCTGGACGGAGGGGGTGATCCCACGGGGGAGTGGCCCAGGGGAGCTGGGGCTCAGGCTCAGGGGAGGGGCCGAGGGGGACGAACCACCACGAGCCACGACGAAAATAAACAGTTCCGCGGCCCAGGGGGGCTGCCCCGGAAAGCCTGGACGGAGGGGGGATCCCAGGGGGGGGGGCCCAGGGGAGCTGGGGCTCAGGCTCAGGGGGGGGGGGCCGAGGGGGACGAACCACCACGACCCCCGACGAAAAAAAAACGGTTCCGCGGCACAGGGGGCTGCCCTGGGAAGCCTGGACGATTGGGTTCCCAAGGGGGGGTGGCCCAGGGGAGCTGGTGCTCAG